ATTCAATGAAAGAGATGCATCATGGTAGTGCTAGAGTCCAGAAGGCTCAATTGTAGGCTTTGAGAAGAAACTTTGAGCTTCTGTAGATGAAGGACAGCGAGTCTGTCACTTAGCACTTCAACAGGGTGATGGTGGTGGCAAATTCCATGAGGAATTATGGAGAAACCCTTAGTGATGTGCATATAGTTGAGAAAATCCTTACAACTTTAACTGAGAAGTTCAATTTTGTGGTTTGTTCTATTGACGAATCTAAGGATATTAAATCATTGATTGTGGATGCCCTTTAGAGCTCACTGATTGTTCATGAGCAAAAACTTCACAACAGAAATGTAGTAGGGGATGATCAGGCTCTGAGGACTGCTCACGAGTATGGTGGTAGGGGATAAAGAGGTGGAAGAGGCCTAGCTGGAAGAGGAAGAGGTGGAAAAGGTTGGAGCAATGAGAAAGTAGAGTGCTTCAAGTGTCACAGATTGGGACATTCCAGGTATGAATGCCCCGAGTTGAACAATCCTCATCAGCAAGCTTACTACACCAACTACTACCCTACTCAAGACAGATCATTTGGTGATATGAAGGATGATGTTCTGTTGATGGCTACCATTGGAGCAACTGATGAACAAATGGTGGAAGGAGAGAAGTCCTGGTGGTTCCTTAATTCACGTTGCAGCAATCATATGACTGGCAACTAAGATTGATTCATCTCATTGGATACTAGTTTTTCTTGCACTATAAGGCTGGGAAACAATTTTAGGCTGTCGTAGAAGGGAATGGTACAGTGAAACTTGCTGTGAACCACACCTCCTTTGTGGTTCAGGATGCGTTCTATGTGCCTGGATTGAAGACCAACTTGCTGAGTGTTGGACAGCTGCAAGAGAAGGGGCTGATTTTTCTCATCTAGGGTGGTTGTTGCAAACTATTCCATGAAGAAAGAGGATTGTTGGTGCAGACTCAAATGAAGTCAAATCAAATGTTTGTCTTACATGCTGACATGAATGTGGTGCAGCATCATCAATGCTTGGAAACTAGTGGCCTCAAGGAAAACTCTACGGAGCTGTGGAACATGAGGTTTGGCCATCTCAACATACAAGGGCTACTGCAGTTGCATAAGAAGAAGCTAGTTTAGAATCTCCCAGACCTGAAAGGAGAGATTAGAGTCTGTCAAACCTACCTTAAAGGCAAGCAACATATGCACCTTTTCAAAAGAAAGCAACTAGAGGCCAAACCAAAGACTTCAGTTAGTTCATGCAGATTTTTGTTGGCCTATCACTCTAGTCTCTAATGGAGGAAGGAGGGGGGGGGGGGGGGAGTTAATGCTTAATGATTTTAAGCACTTGTGTGAAGAAGTTGGGATGAAGAGGCAACTCACAACAGCTCTCACTCCACAACAAAATGGATTTGCTGAGAGAAAAAATCGCACAACGATGAACATGGTACGTTGCTTGCTAGAAGACAGTAAGGTTCCAGCTACTTTCTGGCTAAGCCAGAAGCAGTCAGTTGGACTTCTCATGTGTTGAATAGATGACCCACTACAGCCAATCAAAGCAAAACTTCTCAGGAATTGGGGATAGGTATATCATCCTCAGTCTCTCACTTCATACTATTTGGATGTGTGGCTTTTGTTCATATCCCAGATCAACAGAGGAAGAAATTGGATGAAAAGAGTGTGTAATGTCAGTTTCTGGGAAATTCTGCTGAATCCAAAGCTTACAAGTTGTATAACCCACTTACCAAGAAGACAGTGATCAACAGGGATGTTGTATTTGATGAGAGTAAGGGATGAAAGTTGGAATCTGAACCTCAACTAGCACTGTTTCAATTCTGTGGGATAGAATTGAGTATGACTGGTATGACACAAATACAAAAGAATCAACCACTGAAGTTGAAGGAACTAGACTAGACATTCAACCCTCTAATCAAGAGGAAGACTCATCCACTCAGTCTCTCTCAACAGTTATGAAGAAGTAGAAGAAAAGGAAGAAGATATTGGCTCTCCATCTAATGTACTTGGTCTTCCTAGTACAGGAATGGGGTCCAGGATCAGAAAACCACCTGGATACTTATCCATATATGAGTGTAGTTTTGCAGGAGCAGATTGGTGGGCCATGGTAGCAGTATCTGATGACCCTCTTACCTATGAGGAAGCATGTTTGGAACCAGTATGGAATGTAGCAATGAAAGTGGAGACGAGAGCAATCGAAAAGAATGATACATGGGAGCTGACTAGACTGCCAAAAAGGGTCACGCCTATTGGATTCAAGTGGATCTACAAGACCAAGCCGAAGGAGGATGGAGCCCTAACAAACACAAGGCCAGACTGGTGGTCAAAGGCTGCTCTCCGGAGTATGTCATTGATTACAAGGAGGTATTTGCTCCTGTTGCTATGTGGGACACAATCAGAATTCTGTTAGCTTTTGCTATATTTAATGGGTTTGAGGTTCATCAGTTAGATGTTAAAAGTGCTTTACTCTATGGGTAACTCACTGAGGAGATATATGTTAAGAAACCTCAAGATTTTGTGGTTGCTGGGGAGGAACACAAAGCCTACAAGCTTAAGAAACCTTTGTATGGCTTGAAGCAAGCTACCAGAGCTTGGTACAACATAATAGAAACATACTTCTTGCAGTCAGGATTCACTAGATGCCCCTACGAACACACACTCTTCATCAAGAAATCTAGTGCTGGAATTCTAATTATTAGTTTGTATGTTGATGACCTCATGTATACTAACAATAATGCTAAGATGATGGCAGATTTCAAGGAATCACTGAGGGCATAATTCGAGATGACTGATAAGGCAAGATGAAGTATTTTTTGGGAGTGGAAATCATTCAGTAGAAGTCTAGCATCTTCCTTTGCCAGCAAAAGTATGTCAAGGATGTCCTGGAGAAATTTAGTCTCCTTGAATGCAACCATGTGATCAATCCTACACCTGGTGGAGTGAAGACGACAAAGGTTGGAGATAGAGTTCTAGTGAATTCAATTGAATACAAAAGGTTGATTGGTAGCCTGCTGTATGCAACTGCAACCAGACCAGACTTCATGTTTCAGTGTGTCTCCTCAGTAGATACGTGGAGAATCCTACGAGGCAACACATGCTAGCAGCCAAGAGGATTCTCACGTATCTAAAGGGGACCATGAGTATGGAAATCTGGTACAGAAGAGGGAATGAAGAGCTCTACCTACTGGGATGCATATACTCTGATTATGCAAGAGACTCTGATGATAGGAAAAGCACCAGTGGGTATGCTTTCTTCCTTGCAGGTGGAGTGGTTTCTTGGACTTCAAAGAAACAACTAGTGCTCAAACTGTCAATCATAGAAGTAGAGTTCATGGTTGCTTCATTCTGTGCAACTTAGTGTGTCTGGTTGAGAAGGGTGCTGGAGGAGATTGGATGGAAGGAAACTGTTGAAAATGCCACAAGCATCGAGTGTGATAACAACTCTGCAATCAAGCTCTCAAGGAATCCAGTGTTACATGGGAGGAGCAAACATATACATGTTCGCTTTCATTTACTCATGGACTTGGTAGCTTATGAAGTGGTGGATCTTGAGCATTGCAGAACTCATGAACAAGTGGCTGACATCGTGACTAAAGGATTGAAGAATCACACGTTCCAGTTGCCGAGGACAGAGATGGGGATGGTAGATCTATCCTTTGAAGAAGCAAGAAGGTTGATGAACAGAAGCAAGCACACCGACTTCAGTTTAGGGGAAGAATTGTTAGATCAAGTTTGAAGAGAAGTTGGAAAGGAATATGTCTCCTTTGCGGATTCGGATTGGAAGTGGCACCAAAACATTTGAAGTTTAGAGAGTCTGTGTCAAATAAAGAACTGTGTCGTTTTGGTTTATTTACATTAGTTCCTGGAGTTGTTATTTTGTGTTAGTCGAGTCATGTGAGTCGTTGAGTTTCTATTGAGAGTTTTCAGCAGTAGTTGGGTTAGTTGAGCTGGCTTATATGAGGTAGAGGGATCATGGAAGCCGAGTTTAAAGGCCATATTCGTTGTATATAAGTCATTCATGATTCTCATCAATAAAATGTCAGATTGCAACCACTTTGAGCTTTCAATCCGTTGTTGTGGCAACAAGAGTTAACACAACATAAATTAGCTGAAATAGTAAAACAACTTTAAGTAACTTCTTTGTTGTTTTTGTGGTAAGTCAGTCTGTTTTCCCTGCCAATCCAGCTGTCGATCGCTTACTGTACTCTCTGTTTTGTCTCGGCTTGAGCTTGGACCAGGATCTGCATGTGTCCCCCCCCCCCCCCCCCGACCAGAACCCCCCGAAAAAGAGAATATGGGTTGAGGATTTTATAACCAGGAACCTGAAGGATGTGAACCCGATTAACTCGTAGTTTTGGGGTCGTGTTGGGTTGGTTTGGGGGGTTGACCGCTAGACCCGTTCCATTGCATATGCCACTCCCAAAATGATAAAATCACTCATAAATTGGCGAGATGCTTAACAAAATTCATAAGGATTTGAAATACAAGTTTGGAGTGCAAAGATAATCAAACATCATTTGTTTATTGTCGTAGTATTACTTTCATGACTGTTTTTTGACGATTTGTGTGTTCGTATTTTTTTTCATTAGCATGAAAAGAGTTGAGCATTTGTTAATTGACATGTGCTAGGTAAACTAATGTCACACATATGTAAAAATTTGTATTCCTTAAAGATTTATGAAGCATGTTTGATATTGTTTCTGAGAATGCTCATAACTCAACCCGAAACACGATAAGAACCCGATGGATTGGGTCAATATTTGACTCGAAATCAGCCAACCCAACATGACCCGACCCATGACAACCCGTAACCCGAGATTTCCAACCCAAAATGATCCAACTCGACCCGATTACCAAATATAATGGAGATTAACATAAATGACTATTTCATAAAAGTTCAAATTTTTATCATCAGTAAGTACAAAAATTTATAACCGTTTATGATAATTACCCTAGCGGGTTTCATTGTCATGCCTAATCCTAATCTCCTATTGACTAATGACCAAGTGTTAATGTGTTATCACCGCACCCTACATCACCGCCTCTTCCTAGTTCCTCCGCCAACCCTGCCTCCGTTGCTAGGGGAAAATAAGTAATTTCCGGCTTGAAGATTCCCCAGTCCCCAAAATTGTATCCCGCTTTAAACTTCCAGCTTCAATTGCAGAAACCCTAGTTCTTTGCTGCCCTGTGATTCTTACAAATTTCCGCAAATGTCGTCAGGCAAGCGATATCACAAGGACAAAGTTTCTCGTCGCAAGTGCGTAACCAAGCCCTCCGATAGTCATTTTGCATATATGAACTACTTCTTTGTGTTCGTTGTTTTTCTCCATTGTGGATTTCTAATTGCTGAAAATGGTTCAGAGAGGAGAAGCCAGAGGAACCAGAGACGCCTCGATACAGGGACCGCGCGAAGGAACGTAGAGAGGATCAGAATCCCGATTATGAGGCGACAGAATTGGGTTCTTTTCACGCCGTCGCACCTCCGGGCGCCGTTGATATCCGGTTAGCCGATGCCCACAAGATTTCCATCGAGAAGAGCAAGTACCTTGGAGGTTCGTATTGTTGTCAATAACCTTCGGATGCATTAGCTATAACTTTTCAGCGTACATTTTTTGTATGGAGAAGGAAGTTTTTTTTTCTGTATTTTAGAGTTCATGGATGCGACTGAATAAGCCCAGGAGGGAAAGTTGATGTTCAGGTGATGTGGAGCACACGCATTTGGTGAAAGGGTTGGACTATGCTCTACTGAACAAAGTTAGAAGTGAGATTGGCAAGAAGCCGGAAGCTGGAGATGATGCCGATGAGAAATCTGGGTAATCTTACTTTGTTTTCTAGTGTTCAGAAGTTTTTCTCGGACATCTTTGTATGTGAGTAATTTAAGACTTGATGAAAAAGCTCGTTGCTTGCTACTGTGGTTGGAAACTGCGTGTCAACAGTGGGTTATGTGATAGATGATTTAGTTACATGGTACTAATTTATTGAAGGGAACTGTTTTTTGTTATAATCATAGCCTTTCATGTACATCATTGATTCTTGGAGAAGGCCAGATATGATTCACTGATTTTGTTCATATAGCTTTCTTGCTATAACAATTTAGTTTTGCTATACGTTGTGTTCTGACTCTACCTTCCTATTCTCAGAGCATCAAAGGAAGACCAACAGTTGTCATTTCGAACTGCAACTGGAAAGGTCGGGGACAAGACTCACTTTTATAGTATTGCTCTCACAAAGTTCCTTCTGTCTTACTTACAGTGATTGTGGATGATTTTCTCAATGTTTCAGTCTGTGTACCAAAGGATAGTCAAGCCTCAAACTATTATGAAGACAAATGAGATGTTTCTTCCTGGCAGAATGTCATTTATTTATAACATGGTAAGAATTTGGTTTTGTTTCATGGTCTTTCCCCCCCACGATTTCTGTGGGTGCTGACATACAACACATTGCGATCAATATCTGCCTTCTTTAACTTATCTCCCCTGCTCATATTGAACCTCTAAACACGCTTCTTTGTTGGCACCATGGTGTCACTTGCAGCAGTTTATAGTCATATCTTTTGTCAAATTCATTATCTTGGCTTTTCCCCCCTCCTTGCTATGGTGCAACCTTCCTTCTGATTGACTCTCTAGCAGAATAAGATTCTTGTTATCACACAATCGTTTTGTTTTTTATTCGTTGAGTCCTTTAATCGAGTTATGTCATAGTGGTCTTGCAGCCAAAGGGGGGGAAACTGAAGCTTGTTAGTTTCTTAAATAGCAAGTTAGAACACTTATACAAAGTTCATGGCGTGGAATAGCCAAGCTCAACGTGCAGATGCTTTTACTATCATGCTGATTATCCAATCTCAAATGCTTACCTCATTCTTTCATGTGTGAACCAGGAAGGTGGTTACTATCATGATATTCCTACAACATTGCAGAGAAGTAAAGCTGATTGCCCTGTCCCTGAGGTTTGCCCACGCTTCATCCACCAGGGTGGCTGTTCTTATTGCAATGTTGTATTTGGTATTTGTTGTGACTGTGTATCTTATTCTACCATGTTTCTGCGTAGGAAATGGTCACTGTTAATGTTGACGGTTCTGTGCTCGATCGAATTGCTAAAATCATGTCATATCTTCGTCTTGGTTCTTCTGGAAAGGTTCTAAAGAAGAAAAAGAAGGACAAAGATGCAAAGGGTACTTATTCTGCTGCTGTATCTGTGAACTTGCAATCAATATTTATAATTATTGCTGATTGGACTTAATGTCATGGCAACAAATGGATTGGATTTAATGTTGTAGAGGTCTTTGGCTATGTTCTAAATCTAAAGCTGAGTGGTTTCTCTCTACACAGTAGTTTTCTGTTGCAGCATGCATTTGTAGGCATGTGTAAGTTATAGTGACTGCTTGATGCTGCAGGTGGATTAGAGCTGTTTTTGCTGATTATGCTTTGGTTGTCATTCTTCTTCAGTACTTCCATTGCAGTGTTCAAAATATTTGCAATTTCAATGTTTTGTGCTTTCCTGTCTGGTCAATAAACATGGATGAATGTCTCAGTTGGCATATTTTTTATTTTGTAATGAGGTTTTCTTTTTCTCCAATTTGTTGAGTTTTCTTGCTCCTTGTTTACAGTTAAAATTTCAGCTGTTGGCAATATTTACGATGAAGAGGATAAGCAATCAAAGCTTAATCAGACGATCTCAAACATGAAGCTAGAAAGGGAAATCATGCCCCCGCCTCCACCGCCTCCCAAGAAGATTCAGCCTGATTCTCTAGAGAAGCAGGAATCCCTGTCTAGAGCAGAGGAGGAGGACATATTCGTAGGGGATGGCGTTGACTATAGTGTTCCGGGGAAAGACATGAGTCAAAGCCCTATCTCAGAGGACATGGAAGAGTCTCCTAGTAACAAGGAAAGAGTTTCGTATTTCAATGAACCTACTTATGGTCCTGTTCCGCCAACTGTACCTTCTCAAGAATGGCAAGATCTGGTAAGTCAGAACGAGACCTGATGCAGAGTATTCTAAAATTTGCATAGAGTTTATCAAGAAATTTTTTGCTAATCCCGATGTCTTAGCATATGAGTTTGCTTCCAAATCACCTGATTTTGTAAACTTGGTGTTTTGTAATATCATTCTGTTGATTATTGTTCCAGAGTGGGTATGATGCTGCTGTTCAAGCACAGGCATACGCCAGTGCCTACCCGGGAGAGTGGCAGCAGGACTATCAATATGCTGAGCAATTGGCGTATCCTGACCAGTATCTGCAGCAGGCTTATGATGCAGAGGCTGGGTCGAACATTATACAGGATCCACGCTTCATGACACAAGAAGAGAAGGATCGGGGTTTGGGCTCTGTGTTCAAGAGAGACGATCAAAGGCTTCAGCAACTGAGAGAAAAAGATTCGAGGGAGAAAGACCCTAATTTTGTCTCTGAGAGTTACTCTGAATGTTATCCTGGGTATCAAGAGTACAATCGCGAAGTCGTGGACAGTGATGATGAAGATGACTTGTCAAAAATGGATATGGGTGGACGGGTAAGCAACCTCTATCATGTCTATACTCGATGCTGTTACAATTAAGATCCACCGGAGGAAATGGATAAGAGATGTTACAGTCATGTGATAACGACCCAAGGGTTCGTTGGAATCATTAACGAATGCTGATCTAACCATGCTTATGTGAACAGGCAAAAGGCCGCCTTCATCGATGGGATTTTGAGACGGAGGAAGAGTGGGCAAAGTACAATGAGCAGAAGGAAGCAATGCCAAAGGCAGCGTTCCAGTTTGGGGTGAAGATGCAAGATGGTCGGAAGACACGCAAACAAAACAAGGATCAGAAGCTGAATAATGAACTGCACCAGATCAATAAAATATTAGCGAAAAAGAAGATGGACAAGGATGGTGGTGGTGGTGAAGGTGACCACCATGATGATGACATGCCGGTTGGCAAGAAGCAACGATTATGAGGACGAGGAAAACATACTTGGTAGGTTTAGTTCTACCCTCATTTCAGGTGTAAGTTGTAGGCTTATTGTGTTTTGTTTCATGGGGCATATGCTGCTCTTGTGGAATGAAATGTCATCCAGCCAATAGATCCCTGCAGATGGGGATGATATTTATATTTCTCAAACTAAATGTACCTTTCTAATTATTGAGCCTTACTATTGCTCGCAAGTTTTGAGAGGTTTTAACTTAAATTGTAGAATGCCTTGTATTTAGTCAATCATTCAATACTGCTAGAAAGTTCGTAGACTTATTACATGCCACTTATTGGTATGACTATTAAAATGGCTTGCTAAAGCTAAATGCCATCTTATCTTTTTAGTTTTCAATGACTTCTGTCAACTTGTTTAGCCAGGATTAGTTCCTTGTTATCTGCTCACCAGAGATTAAAGCTAAGGGAAGATGGAATATAGTTCAGAGAGGGGAAATGGAATGCTGTGATATATGTGCAGAAAACCAGAGACTCCTCTGGGTAATTGAGGATATGGAATCATGTGTTCACGCATAAAAATGGCAGCAAGCAACAAATTAGTAGACTGCACGCGTGACCCGGCAGCTATTCATCTGATAAGTATAATTAGGTGAGTGAAGCGGGAGGGATTAGGGAGCGACAATTGGTGGGGGTTGGGGGAAACTAAAATTGAATTTTGAGAGAAATGAGAGGTTGAGTTGGAATTAGATTTTTTGGAAATGATTAGATTCGTTGGAGATCAAACATGTCAAAATTCAATTTTCGACACATCGTCAACAGGAGGAGAAAACTTAATATAACACGAAACGACAACTCCGAAGTACCCGACTTAAGCAAAATTTCATTTGTCGTCCAAGAAAGTTGTGTACGCTTCAATCTCTGGAGCTTCCCAAGTATTTTTTCCCCTTCAAATATCGAAATGTCATCAATTTTGAATGAGCAATCTGTGAAGCTAGACCAAGATATTTATCTTGAATACTAGCCACTAGAACTTCTAACTTTGCCACCAATACACAACATTCTGCATCATAATATATCGTCTAAAGCAAACTGCAGACTTAACCAGATTCACACGATTTCCGCTTAGCACCTCATAGTCTCATACTCCTATAGTACCTTAAGCAATCACTCAAACTCCGCGGTGAACTCGTCAGGAACAGGTAATAATCATCGACAAAGAACAAATGCGATACCTCTGAGCACATAAGAGTCCCGAGAGCCATTTAGCCACCGTTTTACGAAGCAATGCTGTAAATCTCTCTGTGCATTTTGCAAAAAGCAAAGGGGACAAAGGATCCCCTTGTCTTAATCCCCGAGATGGCTTAAACTAACCTGTTGGTTTATCAATCATCATCACGGAAAAAGATGAGGATGAAATACATTCATAGATTCAGTTGACCCAAGTCGGGCAAACTATAGGAAACCTCAACCTATCGAATTTACTTTTTTGTTGTCCTATTATTCCGACACAATCAATTAGTTTCAAAGTAGTTACCATCAAAAGAGTCGTGGAATACATATCTAAAATACCTATGATTATTACTTGGTAATACTACTACATATTACATAAATGTTGATCGCTGAATATTAATGATAAAAGTAAATAATGAGGTAACATCGTGTTAAAATTTTATTTAAAAAATTTTGAACCAGAATTGATGCTTTTTATAAAATGTGGTTGTCCTAGAGGTATATTTCCACAAAATTTTATAATATTTAAATTGAGTTTAATACTTAAGATTCATAATGATTAGTTTTTATTATGTGTATAATAATTGAAAATTACCTACAATTTATTATTGTTATTATAATAAAATTATCTTATACTAAAACAAAATAAATTAAACAAATCATTGAAAACAAAAGCATTTTGATTGATGGGTATTGATTGAAAGAAATCTACCCCCACTTCTAGATCAAGACCCTCCTTCTGAAAAAAGTTAATCTACTCACAACCATTTATGTGAGTATATACTCACACGGTAGGATGGAATGCCCCTTGGCCAAGCTGAGTTCTAAAGGTTGGGGCTCAGTAGCTCAAGGAAGAGCTCATTTAAGTGGATTTTTGTGGTTTTTTTGGCTGAGAGCCACGTCAGCCGAAAGAACTAGTATCCAGTCGAGAAAAACTAAGGGTAAATACAATTTAATCGTCAAACCTTTTCGAAAACAAAATATTAGCCAAACCGTTAACTTTCCTTCCGATCAATTGTTAGTTGACTTTGACGTTTTGACTTAAAATTGAGGGCCGGGACGCTTTTACAGACAGATCTCTCCGCCAGGAGATGAGACTAGTTTGGACGACGGTTTTGGAGTAGATGAAGAAGAGAATGCGAAGGATGTGTTTTATGTGTCATTGTTCCTCCAATATTTAGATGACAGAGGAGGGAGGAAAAGTAGAAGAAGAAGTCGAGCATGAGGGTGAAAAGAAAATAGATATGGAGAAGGAGAAGTAGGCACGAGGGTAGGGAGTTCTCTTTGGTTGATGGAGGAAGGGGAAGAGGTAATGATAAAAAAAAATTTGGTTGTATTTTTTTTTTAACAGTAATATATAATTTTTCTAAAATCATATGCTGATGTTGCACAATTAAATAATTGACATATCAACAAAATTTTTTGAGTAATCTATTTATATGTCACGTTAGAGTCAATGAATAGTTGACTAGGCGAAAAATTAACGGTTTAACTATTAAATTGTTTTCAAAAAGTTTTGACTATTATTTTATTTAGATTTAATATCATGGGCTTTCGTCCGCTTCAGCAAAATTTGTGGGCCCTGTTCCTTCAACCTGTCAAAACGGAGGCCCACCAAGCAAGTACGTGTCGTGTTCAATTCAACATCCAGAACTACACCCTTGCTTCCCAAAGCTGTGTTGTTTCGTTCTAATTTTTTCTATCTGATCATCCTTGTTCGCATATGCGGTTGGTCCTTTGCGCTTTTCCAGGAGCCCAGAAGATTTGTTCAGTTCAATCTCTTCTCTTCTCGTCTATTTCAATTCATAGCTCCTCACAAGACTTCTCCTCTCGCTCCCAAGACGGACAAGGTATCTCCATCCTTTTATCCCAATTCCCCCATCTTGCTTCTTCCAGAGATTCCGTAGGTTTCGATGGCAGTCCTTCTGATCAGAAAACCCTAATCATGAGTTCCGTTGTTTCATTTTCGGAATAATAGTTTCCGCTCTTATTTCTGTGCATAGTTGGTGGTTAGCTGGGTTTGTGTGTGTGTTTTGAGCTGAACTTGAACCACCTATTGGCAGTCTCTTCGCTGATTTCGTAGCTTTCCTTGTAACCATGGGGTTTTGATTTACAACTGGTGCCTTGTTTCTTTGAATCGAGCTTGTTGTTTGACGTTATTCAATTTCTTGCTGTTCACTTTTTTATTGTTTGTTGTTGCTGGTTTCTGAAGCCTTGTCCATTTCCAATTGCAGTTTTAACCGCCTATTGATTTGCTTTGGTTGCTGCAGCTTGTTGTTAGCCAATGGGGACTTCTGATGGAAGATCTGGTTACTCGACGCTGTCTACCCTAGAGAAGGAGAATACTGTGTACCCTTACATTGATGACTATTCCAATCCTGCCTGGTCTGCTAGAAAAGAGGTGGGCGCTCATCAATCAAGCTCAAAAGCATCGGAAAACGACTCACATCTGAATTTCCCATATGATTCGGAAGAGTTTGTTGATGGTGGATATGATTCGGATGATGAACCTTGCGACTCTAAGCAAATTGCCAGAGTTCCAGAGGTCAATCTGAAAAATGTCTTGGGTGGAATATTTGCGATTTTGACTGGAAAGAACAAAATTCCTGGCCTTTCTGGAATCTCACAGCTCCCTAGCTCAAATGTTTCCTTTCTTGGATCTGGAAAAAACGGTGATACCGTCTTGCATTCCTCTGTTTATATACCTAGTGCGCCACCTCTACTTGAGCCAGCGGGCTTTAATTACAGTGAATACAAGGAGGTATTGGAAGCTGAGCCTCCTGAGTGGCTACCAGATAGTTCTACTTCAGCTTGCATGCAGTGCACTGCTCCATTCACTGCAATAACTCGCGGCAGGCATCATTGCCGTTTTTGCGGTGGGATATTTTGTAGAGTTTGCACCAAAGGAAGGTCTTTGTTGCCAGTTAAGTTCAGGGAACGGGACCCACAAAGGGTTTGTGATGCCTGCTATGATCGGCTTGACCCTCTACAGGGTATTCTTATCAACTCAATTAGCAACGCTATGCAAGTAGCAAAGCATGATGTAATGGACTGGACATCTGCTAGGGGTTGGCTGAATCTTCCAGTTGGTCTATCCATGGAAAATGAGATATACAAGGCATCTAATACTTTAAGAAGCTATTGCCAGGTTTAATATCTTCCCTTTTCAATACATTATTATTGTGCTTTCTGAACAGCCATATTTTTCTGGACTGCTTGGTCACTTGGTAGGCCTGAATATAGTGGCCTGAGCCAAGCAAGCTTGAACAATCATGATTTGGCTGGAGATTTTTTCCAATTTGGCTCAAACTTAGTTTTGAACTCCAAAAAACTATTGTCGAGCTTGTCCCCCGATGTTTTTTGGGCTAGTTACGTTATTCTGGGCTTCTAACCAGATGGTCATTCACCTTAAGTTATGAACTTCGGTCAGAGATCTGTTCGTTTCAATCCCCTTGTAAAACCCTTGAAACCAGTGGTGTGTAAATTGTTTTACTCATGCAGTTCATTGTGCTTCAAATGTAGGTCTATGTCATTAGTTATATGCTATGAGTGTTTGATCTGAATATTTCCTTAATATCAGTCTATGAGATTCTGTCAAGTTTGAGATTTTGCTTACTTTACAGTGTCTTGTACATTTTCTGCTAGACTCAGCAGTTATGTTTGATACGATTTATCTTCTTGTCTATGCACTTTGTGGGTATGCATTTCTGTTGCCAATTTCACTTGGTTGCTCCTCATAAAGTTGTAGTGTTTCGCTGGTCCTTTCAGTAACGTGTCAAAATTATGTCTTTGTCTCTCTGAATCGCAGGTTGCAAAGTTGAATCCTGACAAATCCATACCTCAAGCAGTTTTGAAGGGAGCCAGAGGCCTGGCTATTCTGACAGTTGCTAAAGCAGGTGTTGTAGTTGCCTACAAACTTGGAACTGGTTTGGTAATTGCTCGAAGGTCTGATGGAACATGGTCTGCGCCATCTGCCATTTGCTCAGTTGGTTTAGGATGGGGTGCTCAGGTAAACATTTTTTTGTTGGGTGCATGCTGGAACTGTTGAACATATACCTGGGAATGTCGGATGGATCCTGATCAAATTATACAGGATCCGTCTTGGCCAGTGCATCTGTTTGTTTAATCTCTTAAGCTCATCTTTCTCTGAAGATAAGTTATGTCAACTGCAGGTTAAAAACTTATTGTAAAAAAGAAACAGTTTTCCGCAGTTTTAAATGCAATTTCGATACTTTGACCTGTCTCTGCTTCTCCTTTAAGTTCATGTAAATAATACTCTTCATTACTGTGCGTAGACACAGGTTCTGACTTGCATTTTTATGAGTGTCAATCTTCCATGCCTTTCTCTTTATCAGCTTTTTCATTTTTCTGTTATGCTCTCCCTGATGGCAGGTATTCTTGTTTGTTTGACAGGTTGGAGGTGAGCTCATGGACTTTATAATTGTTCTTCGTGACCTGAAGGCTGTAAAGACGTTTTCTAGCCGCATGCATTTCTCCCTCGGTGCTGGCTGTAGTGCTGCAGCAGGGCCTATTGGGAGGGTTGTGGAAGCTGATCTCAGGGCTGGTGATAGAGGTTCTGGCATGTGCTACACATACAGTTGCAGTAAAGGTATTCAAGACTATGTTTCTAGTTCTGGTTTGCGTTGGTATAGGTGTAGACACTGTATCGCTGCAATTTAGTCTGAAATGATGGATGAATAAACATTTGTATGGTTTAGCTGCAACAATAGCTAACCGCTCATTACCGCAAATGTTACAGGTGCATTTGTTGGTGTATCACTTGAAGGGAATGTGGTTACAACAAGGATGGATACTAATCTCAACTTCTACGGCGATCCTTATCTCACAACAAGCGACATTCTACTTGGCAATGTGGACAGACCAAAGGCTGCTGGACCTTTGTATGCCGCTCTTGACGAACTCCGTCACACTCTCTGGTTTTAAAGTATGCTCTCAGGTACGTCCTTGCACTTGAGAGCTGAAACTTCATAGTTCCGACGGCTGGAATTCGGAATATGTGCCTTGCACCTTATTATAGTTTTGAACTCTCGAACTGTACATTTGAATGTCTTCGTCCACCAAATTCGGCTGTGAATGGAGAACTGAATGTTGAACTTGGTTTTTGTTTTTGACATTCCGTTCAGTTTGTGTATATATACGTGTGTATAACCTGGCCGATGATGTTTGTGTAAATATCGTTTGTGTAGTGGGACAAAAGAAATTGTACAGATGAACAGAAAATTTGCCTGGTTAGATAATCTGAATTTTAATTTCTCAAATCTCGTCATTTCCTGTTACTCTTTTTCAAGTAGAAGTAATGAATTCGCACCAAAAAAAAGTAGAAGTAATGAAGCATGGAACACTTGGCGTGTGGCCGTACGGTATCACAAGATGCATCTTATTAAGAAATAAGAATTAGGATGCCTTTTGCTAGTTGCTGTTGTCAAATGTATTAGCAAGTGGTATGATTTGAACGGGGTATAATTGGTTTATATCGATTTTTCAAAACATGTGAGAAAAGTTGGGAACTATTAACACCAAATTAGTTGTGCATATATAGGTAATATTTCTAAAGACAAGCTTCCTATAATATCATCCATATTTAACTAAAATATCACATTACAAATAAAATGATAAATTATTATAATATTTAGACACAACATTTAATGTCAATGTCCAGACATTTATACTTGAATCCAACGAATAATATCACCTAATTGTCCCATCGAATTTCTATCCTTTTGTTAATTAAGTCACGAAAACAACATTTTGTTTTGGTATTATCGTTCCGGTCATCCACGTGTTTCCTAAATTTTAATAAAATTTCAACGATTTTGACTATCAGTCGTCTTCTAACCAGTTTGCACGATTGTGTCTAATTAGTGATTTAACCATGGTAAAGGAAACCGTACCGGACATCATATACCGGATTCCTTTCTGGTATGGTATTTTGTGGTACGACCGTGGTTCAACCGTTTTGTATCGGTAAATACCGTTTTTCACTATTGATAGAGAATGAAATGCGATAGTATAAAAAATATAACCCATAAAAAAAAGAACCAAATAGAGCATTATACAACCACGGTGACCCATTTTCAACATAGAAAAATAGCAAAATAATATTCTTTTTTAATTGTTTTCCACATATTGGACGAGAATACGGAGAAATGAAGCTGAATCATAGACCAGGAAACCGGATCGTACCGGCCGGTTTAACCGGTCAAACCGAAAAAACCGGTCGGCACGGTAAAATCGGCACAATCAGCCCACCATACCGCTTTTGGTCCAATTTTCGGTTGAACCGGCCGGTACGATTCGGTTTCCTGGTCTATGGATTTAACCCAATTGTATCGGCCGACATACCAGTAGATCTAGTCTATCTATCTACTATACTTATAATACGCCGAAGGGAAAAACGGGAGCCCTATTTCAAATTTCCTGCAATGAGAGTGAAAGTAAGAAGGACATTTTGGTCTTCACAATTACTTTTTTTTATTCATTAAAAAGGTACATATTGAGATTCGAACAATGACCATTTTAAAGAAAGGCAAGGATCATAACCAATCACACTCAATACATTTGTTGTATCCTTTTAAATATATCTATCTACTATACTTATAATACGCCGAAGTGAAAAACGGGAGCCCCATTTCAAATTTCCTGCAATGAGAGTGAAAGTAGGAAGGACATTTTGGTGAAAAAAGGGAACCCCATTTCAAATTTCCTGCAATGAGAGTGAAAGTAGGAAGGACATTTTGGTCTTCACAATTACTTTTTTTTATTCATTAAAAAGATAATACTGGGATTCGAACCATGACCATTTTAAAGAAAGGCAAGAATCATAACCAATCACACTAAATACATTTGTTGTATCCTTTTAAATTAAAAACATATAATAGCAAGGTGGAAAAAACTCTTCCCCCATTTCAAATTCCCTTCTCCAGGAGCGTTTGTAGGAAGGGTATAATAGGGAGTGCCAATTTTTTTCTCTTTCCTCTGTGGAACGGGCCAACTTACCGTACACATGCGGATTTAAACGGGTCCAGGAGTGTCAATTTTTTTTCTTTATATCCTTTTATTTCTCCGTGGTGATAAAATATATATGAAAAGGCAAAAACAATACTTCTTTTTATTGCTAAAAATAAAAAATTTAACAATAAACTAATGCATGATATCTAATGGGCTAACCGCTAACCATAAAATAAAAGAGTTGAATGGGCTTGACCTACACGAGATTTGGCCATCAAGTAAAACAAATGAACATCAATGGTTTGACATTCTAAAACAAGCTATTTTCTCTGGCATAATATATAATGCTATTATTTTATATCTTAGTGGCTAAAATATAATGTATTTTAAAGTTATTCAATGGTTCAACCTCGACCAACCCAATTAGTGCAATTTTTATCATTTCAAATATATATTATATAATATTTGATATCATAATGATCAAATTATAGTGTATTTTATAGGGAATCGTTTGGTATTTGTTAGTAAAAAACCAAACATAAAGATCTATTTGGTTATTTTAAACATTAAAACAATCCTAAATATTTTCAGTTCCTTTTGAATTTCTATGGTTTTATTCCCGAATAAGTGATGTGCAAATGGCGAATTGCAATCATCTCTTTTCTTTCACTATTTTTTATTTTCAAATAGAAAGTTTAAAAGTAACGAATAATTAGAATTTGGCATGGGTCGGTCAAACAGGCTGAATTTTAAGTTTTGGCCCGTTTTGATCAAGTCTAATTTATAATCACATGGTTCTCTGATACCCGATAAAAATCTCAATCCAAACCAGTTTGGCAGGTGAGTCCGTGTTTACCACCATTTTCTAGGAATACGACAACGGCGGTTCCTATCCCAAATCGTGTTGTTCGTTCTTGATTTCCTTAGATTTTATCATGGCCTGACAAAAACCAGAAAGCACAATGACGACAAGATGAAAGTTTTATAAAGCAAATTAATGGTGTTCTCTTTCTGATCTCATGTAATTATATAATGAAGTTGAAGTTTTTCGATGCTATTCAATTTCATTAGTATGTTTTTAATGGTCTAACTTCATGGTTGTACCAACTTCTGTTGTACTGTTTATGTTCCAAATATTCACTTTGGTATGATTATTAGGGATATGCTAGGCGGTACTCACCATTAAGCCAATTTAGCTTAATGGTTGAATCTACTGGTTATCCCAATAATTCAATATTCGGCTCAGCTCCTCCGACCAACGGGTCGGGTTATAAGCTAGTATATGGTAAGATCTGTAGATTAGTTACAACGGAAGGGGATTCGGATGAGAGGAGAGTCAAAGTGATGACGTGGAAGCATGTATAGCAATAGAATTTGAATTCCAACCAGGCAGTTAGGGAAAACGCTTAAAGGTATATTTAGATTAGATTTCCAAAGACAAGCTTCCTATAATATCTTCCATATTTAACTAAAATATCACATTACAAATAAAATGACAAATTATTATAATATTTAGACACAACATTTAATGTCAATGTCCAGACATTTATACTTGAATCCAACAAATAATATTAGAGGTGTTCAAACGATGTGGTTACCGTAGTAATAGGGATGGCAATCAAGCTCATGCCCATGGGTATCCGACCGCCCCCGACCCAGTCAACGCGGGGAATCCTCGCATTGACCGGGTATGGGGCGGGTATGGGTAAAACCCGCAAAGAGTTTGATGGGTATGGGGCGGGTATGGTTTTAGCCTCCCCTGCCCCATACCCATACCCATACCCGCCCCACCAAAAATATTTCTTCACATATGAAAAATATGTGAATCGATTTGTAACCTATCAATAATAGTGAGTATAACTCAATAAAAATATATAGTATAAATGCAATTAAGTGACCACCCAAATCAAAATCTAATTTATTTGACTCAATTTTCCCTTCATTCTTTCACTTTCCCCCTTGTTAACAAGATTATATTAGTTAATTATTACTTAATAGATGTATCACAGTAGAGAATAATGATTTGAATCGTATTAAAAATGATTGTCTCTTTGTAAACTTCATGATATAGTAGGTGCGTTTAATGTTATAATTGAAAGTCTACATGTAAAATATTCCGTATTATAATGTTGGATGTATGGGGCGGGTATTACCCATGGGTCCCCGAAACCCATGGATATGGGGATGGGTTTGCAAAACCTTCCCCCGCATGGGTATGGGGCGGGTATGGGTGTTGATATTTGAAAGCGGGGATGTGGATGGTTTAGGCAAACCCGCCCCAAACCCGCCCATTGCCATCCCTACGTGGTAACCATTTTAACCAGTAGTATTTGGCTAATTTGGTTTGGTTAATTTCGATAATTGGTTTGGTTTGGTTTGGTTAAAAATTTTAGCTTTTTAGGTTTGGGTGGTTTGGTTTCAGACACTCCTAACCAATCAAACCAAATTAATTAGTTAAGTAATTTGTCATATATCTAATATATATTGTATACACATACTTAATACTTTGCATAACCACTCAAGAGTCAAATGTAAGATAATTGTATTTGTTACATGTATTTACGTTAAGGGCTAACTACAATTATGTGGATTGTTATGTGTTGTTCATTATATAAATTGCGAATTGATGCAGTAAATGAAAATTTTTCTCACTTAATGATAATGTGGTGTTATATTGGTTATTTTGGTTAACCAATTAACCAAACCGAATAAACTTTAGTTTGGTTAATTTGGTTGTTGTATTAGTTTGGACGGTTTGGTTATGATATTGTATTCCACGGTTAATAGAATTTAGACTTATTTGGTTTGGTTATTACTATGGTAACCATTTGAACACCCCTAAATAATATCACCTAATTGTCTCATCGAATTTCTATCCTTTTGTTAAGTAAGTCACGAAAACAACATTTTGTTTTGGTATTATCGTTCCGGTCATCCACGTGTTTCCTAAATTTTGATAAATTTTCAACGATTTTGACTATCAGTCGTCTTCTAACCAGTTTGCACGATAATGTCTAATTAGTGATTGAACCCAATTGTATCCGCTGACATACCAGTAGATCTAGAATTACTAGTTGTGACTGCCAACTTTTAGATTCCTTGATGGTTGGGTCTGGGACTTTTTCTCAAAACACTAGACTTTTTAAAAACATTCGCAATATATATAACTTACTAAAAAATTTCAACATATACAAGTTTGGGCTAGATCATTGCCGTCTCTATCAATTTTGGTGCGAATTCATGGAGACAAAAGCGATTTGACTAAATCTTTGTAACATACAGGATGCAGCTAAATCGTTGCACTCTCAACCGATCTAGCGTCAAAACTGATGGAGGTTCCAACACTTTTACCTAACATATGTCGAACCGGAAATTATCGTAACATTGTGTTCGGTTGTTCAACCGAAATGATATTTTTTTATGTCGCATAACTTAGGCACTCGATTAACCAATCAAATTATTATTTTTTTATTTTTGTAGAACTTTTCCAATTTTCACAACCGCAAAGTTATGAGAAATAAATAAAAAAAACTTTGTGTCAATTGGATAATAAAGTAAGAAATTGCACTCGCTTGAAGTTTTCACTTATGCATTATGCAAATGGCTGGAGCCTTATGCAATTTTGAAGCTCGATCAATGGCGTGCGCAACGATTTAGCTAAATCGCGTTTGTTGACAGTGATTTGGATAAAATCGCTTTTGTCTCTAGTGGTCCAGTCCAAACTTGTGTGTTTTTAAAAAATTTAGTGTAAGTTATGTCTCATGCAAATTATTTTTAGTGTAACTTCTATTTTCGCTTCAAACGCGTAGGCACGCCTAGACGATGCTTAAGTAACCTAGGCGCTAGGCAGGATTCCAACACCCGCCTAGCTTCTAGTGCTTTCTTGAACTTTGAAATATTCATACTACTATGATACACTTCCATACCACCATGATATATTTCTATGTACTACCAAGCATTACCACCATATTATAAATGGCTAATTTATATCTCAATTGTTTTGTTCAAAAATATATCAAAGTAAATGTCAAACTGAATAGTACAATTAATCAGATTTTTTGTGTGAAAAAATGATTTACGATTTAAAATAAAAATGATATGACCCATTAATATTCTGAACTTCTATTTAACACTTTAGATTTTCAAAATTTTGGGGAAAAGTGATTTGTGCCAGTTGAACTATCCATAGATAAATTATTGACGTTATCCGTCACAAACAAAAGACTCAAGTACTATTGGAAATTCATCGAAAAAAGGAAAATTAGATATTTTGTTTATAATCAATGCAAATTAAGTGATAATTACTATTTTTGTTTCCCGGTAGTCCATCCCAAAATCCCAAATTCCCAATCAGTCCAATCACTATTTCCACGGCACTCAAAGCAAAGGTCTTTTGGGACTCTTTCGTAGAATTCCAGTCTTCAGAGCTCTCCCTCTCTCTCTCTCTCTCTCTCAAAGTGGCACCAATATGGGCGGCAGAGCGTCAGTGGTAACCGAGAACATGGACGACAATGGCGACGGCGTCACACACATCTCAGGCCTTAAAAGAACCCAGATATCTAGTTCGATCTCCTCGTCTTCTTCTGCTGCTCGAAAGCTGCTCCGTAACTCTCCTACCGAAAAGGGCAAGTCTCCGAATCCATACCCCGACCCTTTCCACCGCCAACCCGACCCAAAACAACTCCTCTGCCGAATCTGTACGGAACCCAGAATCCCAAACGAGGCTTTCACCATAAAGGGCTGTTCTCACGCTTTCTGCAGAGATTGCCTCGCCAATTACGTCGCTGTGAAATTGCAGGACAATGTATCGTCGTCAGGCATCGCGTGTCCCGTTTGGGGTTGTCCGGCGCTGTTGGAGCCTGAACAGTGCGCTTCATTTCTTCCTTCGGAAGTCTTCCAACGGTGGGGGACGGTTATGTGCGAGGCGTTGATTTTCGGGATGCAGAAATTCCACTGCCCTTTTGACGATTGTTCTGCCGTCATGCACGACGATGGAGGCGGCGGCGTGGAGGTAATCACTCAAGCTGAGTGCCCTAATTGCTTCCGACTGTTCTGTGCCAGATGTGAGGTCCCTTGGCACCCTGAAATTGGTTGTATAGAGTTCCAAAAGTTGCGTAATGAGTTGGGCGAGCGTTCGATTTCGAGTTCGAATCAGAGAATTGAGGACCTGAAGTTCCTCTGCGAAATATGTACAGAACCCAGATCACAGAAGGATTCATTTCCAATCAGAGGCTGCTCTCATGCCTACTGCAAAGATTGCACGGCCAAGTACATCGCTGCCAAGCTGCAAGATAACGTATCGACCATCGGGTGTCCGATTCGTGGTTGCGAGGGGATGTTGGAGCCTGGACATTGCGGATCCATTCTGCCTCCGGAGGTGTTTGAGAGGTGGGGGAGCATTCTGTGTGAGAATGTGATCTTGGGAAGTCGGAAATTTTACTGCCCTTTTAAGGATTGCTCGGCTGTGATGCTTGATGATGGTGGAGAGGTGATTGCTGAAGCTGAGTGCCCCAATTGCTGTCGATTGTTCTGTGCCAGATGTAGAGTGCCTTGGCACTCTGGGATCCGCTGTGATAAGTTTCAGAAGTTGCACAAGGATGAGCGGGAGAGGGAAGACATTATGTTGATGAATCTAGCAGATCAGAAGCGGTGGAAAAGGTGTCCTAAATGTAGAATCTACGTCGAGAAAACAAAGGGTTGTAACCACATGGTGTGCAGGTATGTGATGTACATTTTACTTACCAATTTCTTGAGGTGTTGCCCTTCATTTTGTAGTACTAATTGTTGCTGCTTAGGATTCAGAATTTTCAGAAAGCAAGTGTTGCTTGCTCCATATAGTGGCGGAGCTAAAACTATTAGACCCCACCCCAACCACCCTCAATACTTGTAATTAAATTTGATAAGCTACTCTACTTGTTTTCTTCTCTTGGAAACAAAAAAAAAAAAAAATTCTGATTCTAATTTAAACTCAAATTTCACAAATCTCGCATATGCATAAGTCGAAGCAAATGATTTGGTTGCAAAATGTATTCACAATTCACCAGGATTGACGGAAGCTAAACGAAAAAGGGTAGAAAGTGAAGTTCAAGATCTAATTAATAAAAAAAACTAGATATTGTAGACACTAGAAAGAAAACGAAAGCTAAAACAGAAAGGTTATGATTTTGACATTTTAAAATTAGACAAGAAAAATGGTTCTATACATGTTGAATTTGGCTAAGAGAATGACCAATTCAAATTTAAGTGATATGACTATTCAATCCTCAAATATAAGTGATACGCGATATATTTTACCCTATGATATTACTGTTCAATTTCCTTGTTCTCACCTGTAAATGTAGGCAGTAAAGTCATGTTCTTATTTTCTCAACTTTTACTAGACTATATATCCTAAGCAAGTAAGCATTACCTAGTAATTGAATTTATTGTATGACTTTCTTTTGGAATGTCTTGTGATGGCAGGTGTGGGACTTCATTCTGGTATGCATGAGTAGGTGTGGTGTGTAGAAGAATTTTTAAAAAATGTGGAAGATCAATGGTATCATACCACCAAATAACTACATATCTCTATTAGAAAGACATAAGATTGCCTCTGTTTAGTCCCCTGCTCTGGTTTTTAGGAGTTAGTTGTTCCCCTTTTGCAGCTGTAAGCCTTGAACCTTAACCTAGTACCAGTATACTTTGCCTTTTTTTTTTTTGGCTTCATGCCTCCTCTTAATAAAAAAAAATCTATATCTCTCTCTGTTATAGGGGTTATTGGAATCGGGATTAAGATTATTTGGGATTTTTATCGAAAAGATAACTAGTATTACCAAGAATAAAAAAGTTACAAAAGTTTGTAACTCCGATTGGAGCCAAGCGCAAAAATCAAAATCAATAATAAACGCAAAAAAAAAAGGGTCTTTTGAACCGCCCTGATTGTTCTGCCTGCCAACAAATCTAACCATTCATCTATTCTCTGAAGCGAGAAGTTGTTGCACCCCCTGCAGCACTGCACCCCCCCCCCCCCCCCCCCCCCCAACTATCTCGAAGGGCACCCGACTTCGCCTTTTGAATCACCACTTTTGCTTCCATCTCAAAATAGACTCTCGAGATCCCCCCTTGCCGGCACTAGTGTAGCGTATCTTGTAACGCCATCAATTCCACCAACATAGGGTGTGTGACTATCGCATATTCTACTCCCCGTGCTCGTAACTCGACCCCATCCGACCTCCTTAAAATCATACCGACTGTCGAGTGTGATCCACCTCATACTGCACCATCAAAAGAGCATAATAAGGCCACCGTCGGCAATTCATCCTCTCCTCCCTATCTCAACAAATCCCCCATCAGTCTAGTCCACCTCTATCAAACAGGTAATCCAACCACTCCTCCACCTGCGTATCATATTGATGCATCAAGCAAGAAAGCTTATATTGCACCCATTCAAACACCACTCTGTTGCGCGACTTCCAAATTCTCCATAGTAGAAATATCTACCGCATGATGCTTCAAGATTATTTGGGATTTGAGGTTTGAAATTTAAATATAAAGTTATTTTTTGGATATTAAGTTGATGTTGCATTTGGATTATAGTCCAATATATCGATGAGTTTTAAATCTTTCATACCTTTCAATCAAGACTACATATAATTCGGTTTTAAGCTCTACGGAATCTCTTCTTTGAAATACCAATCCTTTCTCCGAAGGATATTAAGGGGATTTCGCCCCATTAATCCCAAACTGTGTTTTGGTTTTATACGCTATCTTCATTCCATTTTTATTTATTTATGATTTTCCCCACCTTTTCCCCCTTCTCTCCCACTTAAAAGGCTAAACCTATTTTTAACCAAGAAATGTCAAGAAAGAAAACAACTAGCAAAATAAAATTCTTTCTTACCTACAACCAAAAACCCACCACTGCAACAATAAGACATTAAAATGGAAAGACGCAAACTCAAACAAAGACAAGAAAAGGGCTTTACGTGACACTCTCTAGACAGTCCCATCAACAACTCGACGAACCGACCTAAACACTACACCGAGTAGAATGTATGAGATCAGCTAAAGACAATCACGCACGATAGGACCACCTAAGGCATCAGACTAGATGCCTTTCTGGATCTGACGGATGACAACTTTGGAATCACCGTCCACAACCACCGTCTCAATCTAGTGATCCATCGCAAGAGAAATGGTCGCACGGGCTGCAAGAAGCTCTGTTACAAAGTTGTATGAGTGTGTAGCCGTCCGAGTTCTGAACAACTACTCTAAATGAGCAAGCATCTTCACGAACAACCGCATCAAAATTAATCTTCAAAAATCCCAGAGGAGGAGGGCACCAGATAGTCGGAGGAGAGGGATGAAGAATGGAAACCAAAGGAGGAAGGAGTGACCAAGAGAATTCTCTGATTTGAAAAGAAAAAATTGAGTAGCAAGGACCAATACATGTGGTTGATATAACTCATGAACCACCATTTGCGAGATTTTCAGATCCCCCACAATAGACAAACACCTTAAAGAACTTATGACACTCGAATTATAGTGTTTATCATTCTCATATTTGATACATTCTATTGGTGCATCATTATTATATTTTGCTATGTATTCTGTAGAAATCATAACTATTTGATCAATGTGCTAATAGTAGACCTAGGATATGTTTAGTATCATTTTATGCCTTTTTGTATTATTTGTGCTTTTCAAGGTCAAACGCTATCTAGGATGAGTTGGATCTACAATTGGATCAAGGTGGAGGATCAAAAGGGGTAATTATTAGATGATCAAGGATGGTTCTTCCATTAAACGAAGCCCAATTGAGGGGAAGCCTTCATGAAATCGTAACATAAGCCCAAGCGGAGTATACTAGAGAAATTTCAACCCAAGATTGAAAAGAAACCCACGGCGGCCTTGTGATGGTGCCAACCGGCACAAGGCCAAACCCAGCAAGTCACAGCCAAAATTCATGGAGAGGTTTCTTGTGGGCCAAGCGACCCAAAGCAAGAAGAAAACCAACGGCCGAGCGGCCCAGAAGTCCATTGACCCTTCTAGAAGTCTCTTACTTCATCTCCAAGTCAGAAAATTTGAGTCCAAGTAGTACATGGAGGTCGAGTTTTTGGAGGAAAAAAAATCCAAGAATACCCTTTTTCTTGTACTATAAATATGAGCTTAACCTTTAGTTGTTAGACACTCTAATATACGCGCACACACACAAAAAAAAAATCGAAATTCTGCCAGAGCAAGGCGATGATGCCTTCATCATCAGCGGTTATGTCTTTTTCATTTCTAGCGGCTAACTAAGTCTGTATTATTTAGGTATGTTAATTCTATGATACTTCATGCATCTACTTTCAATGATTATATGAGATGCTTTGTTTATTATATGCCTCTATTTTATTTTATTTTTTACAAAAGATAATCAATTAGATTCAAGAAACGATAGTTACATCCTGGAAGACAGCCAGGCCTGAAAATCAAAGAAACGGCACGTAGCCGGGTACAAAGACAGGGCTTTCCTAGCCACCAAGTGGGCTACCCTATTGTTACTCCGACCTACAAACCGTACACAAAACCCAGAATGGACAGCTAAAAGATTTATAACTTCTTGAAGAATCACTCCCATCTGGCTATCTCTCGCGTCCGTCCGATTGAGTTTATCAATAATTACTTTGGCGTCGCCTTCAAATTGCATCTTCGAAAATCCCAAGCTCGGGCACCACTGAATAGCCTCCCGGATCACCAGCAGTTCGACAATTAGGGGAGCATCAATGTGCGGAATCTGAATCCCTTTAGCCAAAACAGGACCTCCACTATCATCCACAATCACCATCCCACCCGCTGCATGAGAACCACACCTGGTCGCCCCATCCCACCTACAAGATGCCCGCAAAGTGGAACCAGACAACTAGTGACCTGCAGAAGGAACGCAAAGGTGCGGCAGACGATCGACAGGCAGGCAAACCCATTCCTCAAATTGCTGATTAAATTGTCGCATTAAGGCCGACATCCCAAACTGTTTGCCTTCGAAGACTACCCAGTTTCTAGATCGCCAAATCCGCCAAAGGATAGCAACAACCTTCATAAAGAGAGGAGCCTGGTGCACTATATTCATCATTCTTTTGTGAAAAAGCGGGAAAGTATGACGTGGCAACCCTTGACCAAGATTTCCAACCCCGATAAATCCCAAAGCGCACGTGCCACCGGACAATCAGGAAACAAATGTTCCATAGTCTAGGATTCCGCCCAGCAGACCGGACCTCTATTAGTCATGCTTGCATCATCTTAAGTTTAGTTATCTAATGTAACAATCATCTTATGCTTGTATCATTTATTGTGTGCTACTATGGTCATTGCTTATAATGCTATCATAATTTGTTAGAAAACTCTTTTTATATGGTATGTATCTATCTTAGGCTCATATGGAGGCTGGTGTACAACCTTTCATGTCTTTGATTGCTTATAATAATTAATAAGGGCTTAATTTTTTTTTTTCCATTGAATCAGTTCTTCTCATTAACAAGTAAAAGCAAGAGTCTGATACAACGAAGGGACAATACACATCCTAGGGAAACAAAGGAAACAAGAGGGCAGACCCCTCTCAAATCACCACACCACTACAACCCCACCAAACAATCTGTTTTAAAGACACATTCCTAACACCTGCATATCACGCTGCACATTAATATTAATCATACTCATAAATTGTAAATACTGTAGAATCGTTTTGCCCAGCAACTCTGCACTTCGACCGGCATCTCCATGAACCCGCTTGCACCGTTCTTTCCAGATAGCTGCAGCACTTAAGCACCAAATCCACCACACCACTCTCCCTGCAGCTGTGTTTTTACGACTGAGCATACAAGCTACTGACAAAGTGCTAGTCCAAGCACCCCTGCAGAACCAGTCCTCACAGTGGAGTAGCACTAGTAGTTCCTTCGAGAAAGAACATTCGAAAAATAGATGTTCCCTCGATTCAGGCAGATTGCAACATAAAACGCAGGTACTATCAATCTGTTTTCCCCATTTTAGCAGTTTATCCTTCGTGAATGCTATCTTGGAGAATTAGCCAAGCTAAGAAACTAGGTCCAGGTAGAAAACCCTTTCCCCATATCAGCTTATGTCAATCCACCCTTGGCCACCTCATCCGAATAGAATCTCACACTAGACCAACTGAATATCGTTGCATAGGAGAGCCATCCCAACATAATGAACTACCCTGCCCTGAGAAGTGCCTTTGAACAGCAAATCGAACTTTAAGAATGCGCCTCCAAGTCCAAGAGCTACTAGATGTGGACCTTATTGTCCAAATACTACCTGTTTTAATCTGATACTGTGTGATCCAGACCACCCATATAGTCCCACTTTGCATAAGCATTAGCCAAATCATCCTGGTAGTACAGGCCTGATTCCAGGAAAACAGTTCCTTAAGCCCCACTCCTCCTTCTTTTCGAGGCCTTGCTAATCTGTCCCAGCTAACTTTAGCTTTCCCCTCATCACCACCATGCTATAAGAAGTTAGAACACACCTTA